GGTTTCCTTCCTGGGCTCCACTTTTTGCTTTCTAAGCACATCATGAGAATGTCTTTCCTCCGCTGAGCCCTCTGTGGCTCTGGCCCCTAACTGCCGAGTCAGAAAAGCAGGGGTACACCAGAGGCACAATTACAAGGGACGCTCTCGAGTGGAAAACATTGCTCACCCAGAAAAAACTTGACAGGGAAAAGTTCAGTCTGTTTTCCGTTTTCTCATCAGACATATTCTCTTACAGAGTTCGTATTTCCATAGTTCAAAAAACAACAAAAACCAGACTCAAGCACAGGAGTCAAGTTTGGATTGATTCCTAAAGACGGCACAAGCAGGTCCTGCAGACTTCAAGGCAGCTGATGGAGGTGGTAGGAAAGGAACCCAGCAGAGGTCGGGCCCCTGGGGCTCCTGGGCCAGAGGGAGTCCTGAGCACCCAGAGCCCCACACTCACCCCTCAGCTCCACCCCAGAGGGGACTGAAAATCCACGTGAGCCGGCACCTCTGCTGCAGGAGGAAGGCCTTCCTACCAGGGGCCTTCACCCAGGCGCTAGCGGCCTCAGGGCATTTGCACCTGAGCAAGGCCACCCCCGCCCAAGGCGCCAATGGGAGAAGGCAGGGGCCTGGCGGAGGAGCCCAGCTGTGCCGAGGGACCGAGGCGAGCCCGCCGGGTGGCTTCTCCACCTGGGGCCCCCAGATACCAAGCTTCAGACCCACCCCAATCCATAGCTGAGTTTTTCAGTGATATGTGGCCAAAAAATGAAAACTGTGTGCAGAATTTTCACAGAGCAAAATTGATTTTGTTTTAAAGGCTGCCCTTTATTCCAACATGTTTAACCGTCTTTCTAGACCGTCGCTCCCTTGAGAAACTGCTCGAGGAGAGAGCTTTAAAACCCAACGCGCCCGGCAGCGCACACCCTCCAGGAGCAGGCAGGAGATAAGGGGCAGTGCGGGGAGAAGCGGGGTGAGGCCCTGGGAGGAGGGGCAGAGGGGCAGAGGGGCCGCGCGGACGGAGTCAGGCTGCCGCAGGGCCGGGCGGCTCCAGCCGGGGCAGCGGGCCGGCTGGGCGTCAGGGGAGCCCTGCGTCTTGGGGTCACTGGCTGCAAGTGGCCTGCAGGAAATCCCCAGGACAGGTGTGACGGGGCCAGTCACCCTCCCACAGCAGGACAGAGGCCCGGGCGCCTCCACGGCGGTCAGCCCAGCCCGGCCCTGCTGGGCACGGATGCTTCTCTGTCCGCGGAGGCCTAGGGGCAGCTCCCAGCTCCCACGGCCTGTTCCGGAGGAGGGAGGTGGGGGGACAAACCGGAGCTCCCGTCCCTGCAGGCGGCCTCCGGGCCACAGCTGGGGCTCCCCTCGCCCTCAGCTACCGCCTCAGCGGGTCGGGGGGCCCCTGGCAACCAGCGCGGCTCAGCGCAGGCGCCCCACTGCGTCCGCGCGCCTGAGG